CAGCCAGGGGAGCTGCAGCACAACTGGAAAAAGTTTGCAGTGCAGTCATGGTCCTGGGTGCAGCCAGGGTTCCTTGAGGACAGGCTGGGTTCCCGTAGCTGTTAGGAGCCAAGTGCCTGTGCTGGGCCCCATCCTGCCCCTCTGGGGCTATAGCACCAGCCCAGGGACTAAACCCATGCTGGGAAGCAGCAGCAGCTGCCTCTACCCCCATGGCTGTAGTGGAGCCCAACACAAGGGGTACCCAAGGGGGCTCTCCCCTCCAGAAGCAGCCAGACCCCTTCTTGCAGGTGCAACTGCTGCGCAAGGCACCAAGAGGGCAAAAGGCTGTAAGGGGATGTGGGCACTGCAGCTCCCACTGCTGCTGCAGCACGGGGCTAGCCCCGGCGCTTGCTCCCTGCTTACTTGGCCAGCATCAGTGCTTGGGAAAATGAGAAGCCAAGGAGGGCCACAGAGAACCCGGGATGCTCCAGCCCATGGCCTGGCCTGCAGTGCTTGGCCTGGGCAGAGCAGGGCTTTCCTGAGGCTGCCATGAACTGCTGCTCCCCTTCCCCAGGGCTATCCTGTACTCCTCCCAGAGGGCAAAGATTTGGGCAAATCTCTGTCTCTCTCCTCCCCTCCTATTGTTTCACAGCCTCCTGCCTGCACCCCAGCCCCAGGGCAGGTTAACACCACCCTGGTCACTCTGCAGCACCCAGCAGATGCCACTTCTGGCCTCAATTCTGCTTCAGAAAAACAAACTGGCATTGCAGAGATGCTTTAGCAGAATATTTATTCAATGCCATAGTGAAGAGCAAAACTCAGTACAAACATAACCCCTCAGTGCCTTGCTCACCGCTACGCCGAGCCAAGGAAGAAGAGATTTCACAATCTTGGGAGAGGAGGAAGGAAGGCAGAGGCTGTTCCTTTGCTGTGTGACTGGACAAGGATGTGGGTCCTGTGTACGCACACACACACACAAGGGGACTCCCTTGGTTCTGGAAGTCCTACAATGACAGAAAACCTGAGTACAAGGGTTTTGGATAAAGCCACGGGCCCCTCCTGGGGCAGAGCAGAACAAGAGTACAAACCCTCCCACCAAGGGCTGCAGGAGCTGGTAAAGCCATCAGTGCAAATCAGGATGGGATCTGCTACCTCCCTTGAGTCTGTCTGCAACCCACGGCTGTGAGTGGCACAGACAGCTGCCCCCATGCTCCCAGGGGAGTCCCAAAACGCCTCCCCCAGGCCCTGGCAGGGACGTGGCTCCTCTCCAGACGCAGCCCAGAGCCCAGCTCCCAGGAGTGACTGCAGCTCCTGGGGTCGCTGCCAGCCCCAGCCATGCCAGCCAAGCCAAGATTAGGAGCATAATTTTAGACTCTTACATCTGGGTACCTGCCGGAGGGAGAAAAGCCTCAGGGACAGACACACATAGTAAACACCACTGAGTTTGCAATTGCTTCAAGTGAGGCAGCTCCACCATCAGAGGCATCCCTGGGAGGAGCTGATCACCAAACCCACGGCAAGCCAGCCCCGGTGGAAGGAAGCTTATTCAACTGTTGCTTCAGGCAGAGGAGGGCTGCATTCCCCCGGCTGCCTGTGGGTGAACACCCGCAGCCACCCACGGTTGCCCACACCACTGAGAATAAACCAAGAGAAGCTAAAGTGTCACGACTCAAGTAGCGTGGGTGGGAGGTGACCATGAGACCTGCCAGCCATCCTCACGGCTGCCCCAGGGAGGGACAGCAGATCCCCTAGAATAAATACGTTACTCATGCCATAGCTTATTTAAGTGCTACGTTGCAGAGGAAGACAGAGGCAATGCCAGCACCGTGTCACCACCAGCCCTCCCCGCTCTCAAGGTTGGACACTGGTGATACTGACACGTAGCTGCGCTAACAGGAGGCATCACCAGGGAACTGGCTGCGCCCCTGGGGGTCACACCAGACACCAGCCAGGCCCCCACCCAGTCCTGCCTCCCCCCTACTCTCCCCTCCCTGCTGCCCCCCAGGGCCACGACACCCCATGGGAGGAGACATTCGGCCATTGCCCAGCAGCCAGACGAGTTGCCCGTGGAGGTTTGGGACAAACAAACGTTAATAAAACTACTATTTTAATAGAGTCCTGCAGTAAGGCAGCACAGCACTGTACCATGGCTTCTGCCAAGTGCTCTGCAGCCGGTAGCTCTCAGCGAGGTCAGCCACGTCCCAGGCTCACACAGTACAAATGCTGGAAACACGTCTCAGCCTGGTTTTGGAGACCAAAGCTCACCTAGAGAGAGAGCTGTGACCAAGTAGCAGCGTTCGTGAGAAGCTGTGGGGAGCCCACCCTGCAGTGACCAGCTCAGGCTGCTGCCCGCCAGGCCCAGGAACAGGCCCTTGGCTCTTACGTTCTGTCTTTGAAGCAGATGCTCCAAGGAGGAAGCAATTCCCACTACTGGGGTCCCTCCTGACTCGGCAGATGGGATTCGCATGCCCAGAGCTCATCTCTGTTGTGCAGGGCTCAAAGCTCTGCAAGCTCCAGAGGAGGTGGCTGCAGTGAGGAAGCTGCAGGAGCCGGTGTACCTGGGTTCAGCTTTTCTGGTTCATGAGCCAGGAGAAGAGCAGTTTTCTGGGCCTGGGCTTCCTGGCCTGCTGGACACGCACGGCACGAGGGGAGCGCCACACCTTGATGGTGGTGTCGTCGCTGGCTGTCAGGAGCAGCTCCTGCTCCACCGGGCTGAATGCCACGGAGTTGACCACATTGTCGTGTTGCAGTTTGGCCAGGCAGATGTTATAGTGCCGGTCCCAGATTTAGCCATGACGATCCTCTGCCCCACTGCAGCCAACAAGGCACTGGTAAGGACATCACCCCAGCAGCCGTAATAACCTGCTGCTGCCACCCACGAGCTTCGACCGGAGCAGGTCAGCTCCTGCTGGGATCCAGAGCCCGCTTGTCCTGCCCCATAGCACCTGCTGCTTGCAGCCCCCAAGAAGGGCGTTTTCCACCCGCTGCCAAACATGCTCCAGCCCCAAATTTCCCCTTTCCACCGATTTCACAACAGGACCAGGGCGGGGAGCTCTGATTCAGTCCTTCTGTCCTTTACAACCCTCCCGTTTCCTGCTCTGCTCACAGCACAGAGGAGTTCCCAGCACATAGATCAGCCCTGCTTGCACAAGCTGTCCCACAGCGACAGCCCCGAGGCCCTCCCAGACGCAGGGTCAGGACCCTGCCCACCCACATCACCACGCACCTTGCCACAAAGTCCCTGCTGACGTCCAGGAAGATGAAGAAGCACTCCTCGTTGGGTGTGTAGGCCCGATGCGCGCGGAGGGCTCTTTTCACCTCCTTCATTGTCTTCAGGTCGAACACGTGCAGATCGATCTCCTCGGCGATGGGGGGTGGCTGCATTGGGTCGGAGATGATGCAGTCCCGAGGCCAGGCACGGCTGTTCACGTACAGGTACCTTGGGAAGGGAGCAGAGGGGTTACCCCACACCTCACTGTAAATGCACAGCACAGTCAGGCAGGGCAGGGACCGAGCAGTTTCTCTGGTCCTTCGCAAGCCTGCAGCTCTGCTCACCAAAATCCAGGCTGAAACGTGGGAGCGCACTGCTGAAACACTTCTTGCCGTGTTTGGAAAAGAAAGGGCCACCCCAGGTGGGAAGGTGGGCCCTAGGGGCGAGGTTGCGCCTCTTTAATCCCATTAAAACCAACTTTAAGGATGGTGGTGTGTCACAGTTTAACCCCAGTGGCAGCTCAGC